ACTATACAAATCATACGATAAGTCCATTACAAACCTCTAATTCATTTGCGCAACCACAATAGTCGGTAAGTACAGTAACCGAACTTTTTTACAGCAAATCGCTATACAAATCACGATGAGTCCATTGCAAAACTAACATAACTCTATCTAAATCACAGTTAGTAAGTACAATAACCGAACTTTTTGCAAAAAATCACTATACAAATCACGTTAATTCCATTACAAACCTAACCTAACCCTATATAAATCACTTACCCAACCACAATAGTCGGTAAGGACAGTAACCGAACTTTTTACAACAAATCACTATAAGATCATACGATAAGCCCATTACAAAACTAACATAACCCTATCTAAATCACTTATGCAACTACAATAGTCGGTAAGCACAATAACCAAATTTTTTACTATACGAATCACGATAAGTCACTAACATAGCCCTATCTAAATCATGCATGTCACCATAGTGAGTAAGTATAGTAACTGAATTTTTACAGAAAATCACTAAACAAATCACGATAAGTCCAAAATAACCCTATCTAAATCACTTATACAACCACAATAGTCTGTAAGTACGGCAAATCGCTATACAAACACGATAAGCCATTACAAAACTAACATAACCCTATTTAACAACCATAATAGTCGGTAAGTTCAGTAACCGAACTTTTTACAGCAAAATCACTATACAAATCATGATTACAAAGTTAACATAACCCTATCTAAATCACTTATGCAACCATAATAGTATGTAAGTACAGTAAATTACTATACAAATCACGATAAGTCCATTACAAATATCTAAATCACGCGTGTCACCATAGCGAGTAAGTATAGTAACCAAACATTTTACAGCTATATAATCTTACCTAAATCACTTATGCAACCACAATAGTCAGTAAGTACAATCGCAAATTTTTTATAGTAATCCACTATTCAAATCATGATGATTCTAACGCAATGTCCAATGATAGACGGTATAATTATTTATTAAATTTTAAATTTTATTTTAATTATAATTGTTATTTTCAACAATTCTATAAGACTTGAGAAAGAATTTCATAACTGGACAAGCGATAATTATGAAATTGATAAATTAATTCAACAAATACACATTAATGTAAAGGGATTTAAAGACATTATTGAATGGATACCCTTTAGCAAATTCGCAAATATAAAGTATCTTGCTGAAGGAGGCTTTGGCACTGTTTTTAAAGCAGTATGGGTTGATGGGTATATTATAGGATATAATTGGAAGAAGAATAAATGGGTGAGAAGTTTGCAAATAGATATTTGTTTGAAAAGCCTTGATAATTCTAAAAATATAAAACGAGAATTTTTAGAAGAAGTACGTACGAATCTTAATTTATGATTATTTAAAGTGTAGAAATCCTATTTATTTTAATTAATATATTAGGTTGAAAATCAACACAAATATGGGGGCTCTTTGGCAATTAGGATTTATGGAATAACTAAGAACCCCAAAGACGGTAATTACATGATGGTTATGGAATATGCAAAGCAGGGAAGTCTTCGGAAATTGTTAGACAATAAATATTATGAATTAGATTGGGCTTCTAAAATAGTTAACTTATATTACATAGCTGATGGGCTTTGGGCGATTCATAAAGCCAAATTAGTGCATAAAGATTTTCATTCCGGAAATATAGTTAATCAAACTATATTTAATCCTTACATTACTGATTTTGGCTTATGTAAGCCAGTGCTACAAGACTCAAGTTCTAAAGCACTTTTTGGTGTGCTTCCCTATATTGCCCCAGAGGTATTATATACAAATGGAAAGGAATACACTCAAAAATCTGATATTTATTCTTTCGGAATAATTATGTCGGAAGTTTTTACTGGATATCCTCCATATCATGATATTCCGCATAATGAATATCTAGCAATACGTATTTGTCTAGGTAATAGACCCAAAATCAGATGCGAAGTTCCTCAATTACTTTTGGATCTGATGAATAAATGCTTAGACGCAGAGCCTCAAAACCGGCCAACTGCTAAAGAATTAGTTATTACGCTGTATCAATTTTTTGTAGATTTGAAAGGCAAAAAAACTGAATTATCTAAGCAAGTTAAAAATATTAAAGACATAGACAAGGATTTTTTAACGTATAAACAAGTCAAATTGGAACAACTCAAATATCAAACACATCCACAAGCTATTTATACGAGTCGATTTTTGAATCTTTCAAAACTCCCTAAACCAAGTAATGTATTTATTCATATTTTTTTAAAAAGTTATGCAGTAATAAGCTATTAATTGTAAAAATTTCCGAATCAGTCAATATAGGTAATACTGTATTATTATTTGCTTAAATTGATATAGCTGTAGTTTTAATATATGTCTATGTTTTAGGAAGTAAATGCATTGATTTTAAAATTCCCGACGATAAGTAGTATTTGATTATTTATAATTAAACAAATTTATTGCTTATTTTTATATTGGTATTTAGATTATTAAATTAAGTAAAAGTAGGTTATTAAAATTGGGAGCATTTCTATTTATTATTGCCATATTACGATGATTCAGTAATTGTTATATATCTTCATGTGCCTAAAGAAAAAAATGATATAAACCAATTTCGCTGACAATTATATAACTGGCCAGATATAGATTATTGGCGAAATGTTGATTAGCAAGTTCTGCTAAAGATGCTATATAATAAAAAAAACATATCGGCGGGTTTGCGGAATGGATCTAAATTAAGGTCCCTGGATTTAACAATTGCAGAATGCATAATGGCTGAAATTTTGGGGTCAGTTTTACAATCGCATTGTTAAAATATATGGACCTTAATATAAGTCAATTCCGCAAATTCGCCGATATGATACTAAATAACGTATATAAATTCATTAAATGACAATTGAAATAATAAATACCGTCAATTCTTTCTATGATGAACTGATAGTATGGAAGAAAAAAAATTCATTATAGAAAATTGCTATGTTTTCTTAAGAAACCATAGCTCTTTTTATACTGAACCGTTATAAAATTTAAAATTTTGAGTTATTTATATCCAGAGTTGACCGTATTAATGTCTGTTATACTTTCTAAAATTATCATTATTAACATGGTGGACATTCAATACACAGCATAAAAAAATTTTAAAGTAACCCTACTATGTTAATTAGCAACTTATGGTTTCACATAGTAAATTTTTAAAAATACATTTCTTAGTACAGTATTCTTTAGCTTCTTATATGTCTGTAAACAAAAAAGATCAGTATAGATTAGTATCACTAATATTTTTAGGGGGCTATTTTTTATACCCCCTATATTTATTAACCACACCCACCCCTCTAACAAAACAAAACCTTTAAGCAACGATATCTCAGTAACCACCTGATAAATTTTGATAAAAATTTTTTATTTTGATTCTGTTAGTTTATCGATTCAAATAAAAAGATTTTATCGAATTTGGTCAGGTGGTTGTCGAGATATCTTTGCTCAAAGTATTAAAAAAACTCAAAACGCCTATCAAAATAATTCTTTAAAACTTTGAGCGAAGATATCTCAACAAACACCCATCCAAATTCGATAAAATCTTTTTATCAAATTAGGCTAAACTCATATAATTAAAAGAAAAAAAAGTTCATCGAATTTGATCAGGTGGTTATCGAGATATCTTCGCTCAAGGTTTAAAAAAAACTCCAGAATAAAGAAGCTGCACCAAATTTTTTTAAAACTTTGAGCGAAGATATCTTGACAACCACTGATCAAATTCGATGAATAATTTTTTATTTGAATCCCCAACGCTTATAGAATTTAAATAAAAAAATATTTATCGAATTTAATCAGGTGTTTGTCGAAATATCTTCGCTCAAAGATTTTAAAAAAACTCAAACTGTCGATCAAAATAAAGAAGCTGCGCCAAATTTTTTTAAAACTTTGAGTGAAGATATCTCGATAACCACCTGATCAAATTCGATGAACTTTTTTTTCTTTTGATTATATGAGTTTAGCCTAATTGAATAAAAGATTTTATTGAATTTGGTTAGGTGGTTATCAAGATATCTTCGCTCAAAGTTTTAAAGAATTATTTTGATAGGCGGTTTGAGTTTTTTTAAACTTTGAGCAAAGGTATCTCGACAACCACCTGACCAAATTCGATAAAAATTTTTTTATTTGAATCTACTAAACTTATAGAATCAAAATAAAAAAAATTTTATCGAATTTTATCAGGTGGTTACTGAGATATCGTTGCTCAAAAGTTTTTGTTTTGATAGGGGGGTATGGTTAATAAATGTGGGGGGTATAAAAACTAGCCCCCTATATATATATATAAGTAAATTTAGGTAAATTACCGTAATTTTACCATAGTAAATTTACCACCTGCAACCCTGTTCACTACATACCCATAAATAACAATCCATTAATTAATGTCGCGGATTATGGTGAAATCGGATTATCGTGAAATCTAGGACCTTAATTTAAAAATATAAGCCCTCATAACCCTAACAAAACCTACTTATACTCTTTTATTATAAACACTAACCCTAAATACTACGTAGTCCGGATTCAAAAAAAAGCCTAAAAAAATATACCCCAAAAAATTTTAATGATCCGGATTTCACCTTAAAATAGTATCTTGGATTTTTTTTGATCGATTTAAGCTGGTCAAGCCGAATTTTATAACATCGACTTCCACTAACACTACTTTAGAATGTTAATACATGAAACTGTTATAAACATTAAAACTAGTAAGAATTTTGATTGGTTAAAAATCCTTTTATACATGATAAAATCTTTGATTATTAAATATAATGTAAACATTTATAATCATGGCCGTGATAAACCAATCAAACGTTCCGAACCAAGTCAATATAGCTCCATCCTAACTTGAAAATTTAGGCTACAAGACAATATAGTTAGATTAATCATAGATCACTCGTGACAATTTGCTGATACATTTTCCTGCAAATAAATGTAACGGATAATCTAACACAAAGAACATAAAGATATGTAACAATGCTCATATTTATTCATCAACTAAATTGCGTAGTTTTTTCATAATTGATATAGAAGTTTCTCGATATCCGCCACCGAACAAATAATAATGATTCAACCAATGGTAAAGTTGATATAATTCTGAAAAAATATAATAACAATAATAATTTCAACCAAATTTGAATTCCTAAATACCAAAATAAAGCCCATTTTTGTTTAAAAAAAACAAACAAACAAACCTTGCCGTTGCTCAAATGCAGGCTCTTGTCGTGAGTGATGAGTATGATATTCATTGAAGAAATCTTGTAGAATGATAAATTATATAGTTACTATCCATTCTTTATAAAGGTACAGTTAGTGATGTGAATTCTCCCAAATCACAATTTCTCTACCGGTATATACCGGTAGGTGGTAGCTACCGTTAGCTACCAC